AAGCATAGTAGGGGTTATACATTAAGCCAATCACATTACATTGAGAAAGTACTTAAGAAATTTAAGCATTTAGGATTTAAAGAATATAGCACGCCATATGATTCTAGTATAAAGCTAGTAGAAAATACTAGTAGAGCAATTGCACAACTTGAGTATGCTAGTGTAGTAGGAAGTTTGATTTATGCTATGCTTTGTACTAGACCCGATATTGCATTTGCAGTAAGTGAACTCAGTCGGTTTACAAGTAATCCCGTTGTAGAGCACTGAAAGGCAATTGGAAGAGTTCTTGGGTATCTCAAGAGAACATTGGAACTTGGCTTGTTTTATTGTGATTATCCAGCTGTACTAAAATGGTACACTGATGCGAGTTGGATTACCGGTAATGGAGATAACAAGTCCACCTCTAGATGGATTTTGGTGCGATCTCTTGGGCATCCAAGAGATAAACTTGTATATCTCACTCAACCATAGAATCTGAATTCATAAACTTGGTGGCTGTTGGAAAAGAGGCTGAATGAATTAGGAATTTGTTGTTGAATATAAAACTTTGGCCTAGTCATATGCCTCAAATTTCCATTTATTGTGATAGTGAGGCAACTCTGTCAAGAGCCTATAGTGGTACCTACAATGGTAAGTCCAGACATACAAGTCTGAGACGTGAATTTGTTAGGCAACCAGAGAATTGGTAAGAACGACAAGTAAAAATATGGGATTAAAACCCTTTACTTAGTCACCTGTAATGGTAACCCGACCTAAACTGAAAACCATCAGTATTGGGTTTAATAGGTAACAACAAGTTACAACAATGTGATTGTTAGCACTGACATTGAGAAATTTCCCATCACAACATAAACAGTGTTGTCCGTTATGATGAGATGTTGACTTAAACTCTTAATGAAGTTTTGAAATGTGTCAAATAACGGAACACATAGTAGAACTTCATATGTGAATATAGAAGTGGTGCCACTTCTTATGAAAGTTTGGGTTTGCTCTCGGGATTGTTCATGAAACCAGGAAAGAAGCACATGGCCATAACAGTGTTGAGCAAAACTTGAAACTCTTTGCAAAGATTGGACATTTTTGTGTGCATGAGTATCTCCGATCTATCTTGAGAGTAATTAATTTAAGATTTTACCACCAATAACTTTGACAAGGCTCTGAGATATTTATACCAACAAAAGGTTTAAATTGATAAACACATTTTGTATGCATAACTGTGTCATAGTAGTTTGGATTGAGAGAGAACTATGCAATTGATCAATCAATGTGGGGGATTATTGGATTTTAATCTCATAAGAGACTGAATCCAATGGGTTTGATTGGTCAATTACATGAGAAGTCGCACCTGCACACTTGTTTGGAAAATTAGCTTTTCTCTTACAAAACCCAATTTTGAACTTATCCCACATTGAAAAATTATAAGCTTTGTTTTCAATATTTTAATAAGAGTTGATTTACACTCCTTAGAAACAATAGAGGAGAGTATGGAGGCTTGATATTGCACAGCGCGCGCACACGCATGGTGCTTTAGAAACGTACTTTGCTCGCACTTTGCACGCACCCGTGTGGCTCACGAATGGCAGCTTGTCACGATTTGATCGGGTGTGATCAAGAGGCACAATTCAAAGTTAACAATCATTAACTGTTAACTACATTTTAAATAGTCACAATGTTTGAAATTGTGACTGTTCAAGGTGCCTAACCAGCACCTACCTTTTCTTCATACCTCTTCATAAACTATTTAAGGAGCATGAATCAGATTTCTAAAACACACATTTTTTGAAATTCACTTTCTCTCTCTCTCTCTCTCTCTCTCAGTTCGGCCTGCTACGGTCTCATATAAGGTTTCTTCGGAAACTCTTCAACTTTGCTAGTCGTAGATTCTCACCCAAGGCTTTATTGTATCCTGGGAACGAATTTGCCTGTAACCCAATAGCAAACTCAGTGAAATTGAGTGGGGGCAAATAACGTTTAAAGACAGTATCTTCAGACGTGCCTCAGAGCTTCTCCTCCAAAGTTTTCAGTGACCTCACTTTTCCAAAATAAGCAACACAAGAGGATATATACCTCAGAAGAAGCAACAATGGAGGAAGAGGTAGAAGATGTCAGATAAAGGAAAGATGTCGTAATGTCATTCTATGTATCATTTCTTTAGACGATACTTACACGGTCGCCCTAGTTCCAAAAGGAAACAGATAACAGCCTCATTGAATTCAAAACTCAAATCACTCATTCATCACAGGGGTCTTAAGATCTTGAAACTCCAACTACGAATCTCTTCTTATTTCGGTAGGTGGATACACTTTGCCATACAAAAGGGAGTTGAAGAACTCGATATGAATTTCTGAGGATATTCTTATAGCATCAAACATACACTTTGCTGTTGAAGTTCTAAATCAGTGCATGCAAATACCTGTGAAAGCTCAAACTCTATGAACAACGATCGATGATTATGATTTAATTTTGTTTTGAGTTATTATGGGTTTTGTTGACAAATACACTTTGATTAACAATAGAGTTTTTGATGCCTACTAATATATGGCCCCGTTCTGTGTCGGTTATTTATAAGCCTAACAACCTGTATTTTCTGTTTGGTTGGGAGAAGATCTAGCTATTGAAAGATTGAATCCTAAAAAAGCGCAAGAAGCCCATTTTGGGCTAAATTCGAGAAACTCCAATTAAAGCTTTTCAACTTTTTTTTTTGTCTCATTTTTGGGCGAAAAGACATGTTTCCAACCAAACGATCTATGGGCTGCCAAAATCTTTATCAAAGCCCACTACGTCTTTTGGCTATCAATGCTTCGGGCACCGTTGTTTTAAGGGAAATTTTCTGATTAGTATCCTTTATTTTGGGCCTAGTCCCACTTTGATCCCCAAATTTAAATGCGACAATTCAATACCCAAACTTTTGAAACGTGCCAATCTAGTAGAAGCCATTAACTAATCATTAAGTGACATTTGAAAAGACAAAAATACCCTTTGAGTGTCATCTAATTCTCTTTATCAATCATTCAAATGTTGACAAAAAATGAAATAGTTCAAAATCCTTACCTCTTTATTTAATAAAGTTGAAGTCACATTTTAGAGGATATTTTAGTAACCTCAACTTTCTTAAATAGAAGAGGCAAGGATTTGATTCATTTTTTTATATGATTTATAAAAATAAGTAAATAACATTTAAAGGACATTTTCGTCTTTTCAAACACCACTACTGGATTTTTTTAGATAAATCTCTTAAACTACCCTACTGTTTAATGACATGTTGTACCCCTACTGTTTAGTTTTTTGACAATTGTCATTGCCTTAAGTGTCGAGGAAAGGAAACGAAATATCAAATTTGCCCTCTTCTTCCTCTTTCTTCCTGTTCTGTTCAATGGAGCACGTCTGTTTTAATTCCAATGAGACCCGTGCCGTTACCGGCAGCAGTGAAAACGGCAACGATGTTCACAGAAATTACAGAGACAGAGAGAGATGGGGTTTGAACTGTTGCTTCTAAAAATGGTGCTTCTGTGCTCTGCAGCTGATTACAGTCCAGTCCAAGATTCTGTGTCTCTCCCTTCTGGTCTCGCCTCAGTCGCTTCAGCCCAAGCCAGTTTGTTGCAAGCCACCAACTCTGTGTCGGGTTCAAGGTTGTTTATCGCCTTGTAAACATCGGCACCGGCAATGTTTTCAAACAACGCAGATCTGCTTCAGCACCGCCTGCGTTGCAAGCCACCAACGCAGACCTGCTTCAACGTTGTTTGAAAAGACGACGACGTCATACCGTCAGAGCGCATCCGTGCACTCGACTTCCCCAGATTCATCGAGGCTATTTATACAAAGATGGAGGCTCTCAAACAACGCAGATCTGCTTCAACACCGCCTACGTTGCAAGCCACCAACGCAGACATGCTTCAGCGTTGTTTGAAAAGACGGCGACGTCATATCGTCGGGTGGGTGCAGAGAAGGCGGTGGTTGCTCTTTCTCCCTTTCGTCCCCTTCGTCAATGGCTGCCGTCACTTGCGACGAGCCCTTCTGGTGTAGCTTTGGATTCTTGGTTTGTAGCTAAAAACCCATCAGTGCCTGCAAACGCAAAATCCATCCATCGCAGGCGACGGTAGCCACTAGCGAATGGCTCCCTCCCTCTCTTTCTCTCTTCCTCCCCTCTCTCTCTCTCTTTCTCCCCCATTCCCTCTCGCCTCTGTTTCATCACCGCCACTGCAAGTTATAGCAGCGGCGGTGATGAAAGAGGGGCGAGAGAACAAAGGGGACGAAGGGGAGGAAGAGAGAAAGGGAGGGAGGGAGCCCTTCGCTAGTGGTCGTGGGGACCTCTTGGGTGGTCTCTCTCTCTCCCCCATTCTCTCTCACCCCTGTTTTATCATCGCCGTTGCTGCCACTTGCAGCAGCAGCAGCGGTGATGAAAGAGGGGCGAGAGAACGAAGGGGAGGAAGAGAAAAAGGGAGGGAAGGAGCCCTTCGCTAGTGGCTGCCATCGCCTGCGAGGGCTTCGCCGAGAGGGAGAGAGAACGAAGGGCTGCGGCAGTTTCGAAGAAAACGAGAGGGGTGCCAACCTCTGCAGTTTCGGAGAAGAGCAGCGATTCTGGAGGTGAGCAGCGGAGAAGAGTGGCAGTTCTGAGTTGTGGAGAAGAGCGATGACACCACGACTACCGCAAAAGTGTAATTTTGAAATTATGGACAAAATTATAATCATGTGGTGTCACATGCAAAGGAACGCAACCGTCGAATAACGACAGGGTACGCAAGACAATAGCTAAACAATAAATGTACCGTTGTCATTACGCCAAAGAGTAGGGATAATTTAAGAGATTTATTATTATTATTTTTTTTAATATCACCACTACTGGATTAACGCGATTAACGCGTTTTAAAAGTTCACTAACCCAAGCTATAATAGCAAAGTCACTAGAGCCAAAAATCCGTTCTTCAAGTAGAGCGAACACGCGTCATCAAATGACACGTGATAGAAGGGGCAGTAGCGTAGTTTCTCGCAAGAAAACATCACATCACGCGAAAATCCCTAGCGCCCCTCTCATTCTTTCGTCCTTCTTCGTTCTCACTCTTCTGCTCAACGTCTCTCCCTCTGCTTAACGGCACAACAACCAATTGCATTCTTCGTCGGTGGTCGATCTCTCGGGTAATCTTTTTTTTTTTTTGTCAGTGAAAAACAGTTCCATCTCCGTTAAGTGTGACAAGAAGCCCTCTCGTCTCTCTGTTGAGTGTGAGACGAAAGGGGCTTTTTTCCTTGCTTGTAATTTCTTGATGTAGGTTCTTTATGTAATTTTTTTTCGTTCTCCTGTAATTTTTTTCGTCTCTCTGATTAACGGCACACGTTGTAATTTCTTGGTGTAGGTTCTTTATTTTTATTTTTTTCTAATTCCTTGAACCATCACTGCCTCAATTCAACTTGTCGTTTCAAAAGGCCTCCTCTCCAAGGTAAACTTTTTCTCCTTGCTTCTCTTTCCATATTTCTTGATTTCTTCGTTACTTCAATGGATCATCTCTTTCGTTGTTTCAACTTTCATGATCCTACACAGTTGTAGAACTTTTAAAATGAGTTTGCTCAAGGCCCAGTAACCTTCCTTCCTCCCACCATTAAACCGTGCGAAAATAGGAATCTCAGTCAATTCAAAGTTTTGAACGAGTAGAGTTGAGAATTTTTCAAAGATATAAATAGGATTTGGAACATGGTTTTCAAGTTGCATATTCATGGAGAGCTTTCATAACTTATATGAATACGTTAGTTGCCAAATTATCCATGTCATAATGAGATTCATGTATAAAAAACTAACTTCTACAATGAAAAACGAGCTCAAACAACAGATTCTAATGGACGACATAACCATTAAGACTAATAAAATCTCAATCTAGATTGGATTATAGACTGTAAAATCTCAATTTGGTGTGTTTTGTGGCAGATCCAAACCCTTTTACATATCTGTTGGATCAAATACACATTGTAAATGGTAGATCCTACTATATCTGATTTGACATGGGAAGTATTTGTAACGTATTCATATAACTTCTTTCTTTGATAAGTTCTCATAAGCAGAAAGTTGGTCTCCTCACAAAAGTGGCTCAAAAATTTATATCATCTGTTAATCAGGTTGAATGGTTGTTAACTGATTTATCTAGGCTCTCATTTTTCAATAGATAAGTTAGTTATTTGTAAAAGATTTTGTGACTATGATTCTACGCCAACTTGTGATTCTCTCCTTAGTAGCTGCATGAGATGAAGACACTGACAATTTCAGCATCTTAGGCATCCACAAGCTTTGATTCAGCTCTTCTCCATTTCAAATCTAAGGTCTGTTAGGAGGACTAATGCAAAATGTGGAACCCATTCCTGAAATGAAAACAAACAAAATATAGGAGACAACCATGGTTTATAAATTGACTTCACAATCTGCTAAATTATACTTATTCTTCCCTCTAGTTTTTTGACCTCTCTCTAGGTTTTGGTCCAATACTTTATATCATTTTTTTTATTGGTAAAAGTTTGTTAAAATTTCATTGAAATAAATAAAGATAAGCAACTGTTACAAGCATCTTAGAGGGAGGCGTGAGGTGCAGCCTCACTCTTAAAGAAAAAGACAGCACAAGAATTACAATTGAGTCCAAACAACTGATCCCTAACCCTTGCTTAGCTAAATAATCAGCCAAAGCATTAGCCTCCCTCCCCATCCATTGTATAACCAGGCATTGATCTAAAAATCGTAATTGTAGACAAAGTTGAATTGAATTGAATTATAAATCATATTGTAAATCGTAGGATTATTTCTATTTTTTACAAGCTTGTCAAAAATTAAATATAGGTATGCTAAAAGACAAAATATATATAGAAGTGTTATTTTAAGTCATATCTACCATATATGGACCTAATAGAATAGAACTTACCACTTATACAATAGAAATCTAAGATGATATAATTGAGTTTGACTTGAAACTCAAATAATCCACATACAATGGCTCTTTATCCAACACATGATAGAAAATAAACTCAATATATAGTCTTAAATTACATAAATAAATCAGTTTCTAGTAAGGTCTTTAAAACAAATCACCCTTGACAAAATTAAATATAAACAAAACAAAATGACAAAGTAGAGAACCAATTCTTAATTGAATTGATTTGAATCATAATAATTTGCATTAATCGTATAAATCGTAAGATTTATGAATCAAATCGTATGATTATGATTTTTTGCAAAAATCGTATGAATCCAACTTTTCTTCTCTCTCTCTCTCATCTTCATCCATGTTCAAGAGGTTGGGTCTCCCTCGAAGAGATTCCTGGAGGTGAACAGTATCTCATCAACTGGTATCAGAGCCCGAGTGACCAACTTGAAAGATCAAAAATGACCAACACCCGCTCAATGACCTTGGACGAGAGGGTGGACAAGATCGAAGTCGATCTCCACCAAGTGGTCGCGGGGCTTAAGGAGATTAAAGAGGTAGTGTTGGTGATAGTGTCACAGGAGGAGAAAGCTACCCCCGCCACATGTCGAGATAGTGACAAAGAAGAGTCTAGCTGGGGCACTAATCGGGGGGGGGGGAAACTACGCACCTGGGAGAGTCACCAAACTGGACTTTCCTACATTGTATGGAGGAGATCCAATCCCCTGGATCTTCAAGGCCGAGAAGTACTTCGAATATCACGACGTACAAGGACTCCAATGCATGACCGTTGCTTCCTTCATTTGGAAGGGGGGAGATTCTATGGTTCTAGTGGTTCAGGCACTCCCGTCCCCAAATTTCATGGCAAGAGTTCACGGAGGTGTTGTGCATTCGATTTGTGCCTACCGGGACTACCAAGTCGAGTTTGAACGACTTGCCACCAGAGTATATGGATGGTCGGAGAAGGTGCTGGTTGGTTGCTTTGTCGGAGGGTTGAGAGATGACATTAAGGTTGAGGTAAAGGCCCTTCAGCCCACTTCTCTGGCTGCGACTGCAAGGCTAGCAAGGTTGCAGGAGAAGCGGCTGGATCGATTGAGGAAGGTGACCTGCCTGTCTGGGCCCCTATTGAAAACACCGTCTCACCAAGATGGGCTTCTCCTGTTTTGTCAGAGGGTTGAGAGATGACATTAAGGTTGAGGTAAAGGCCCTTCAGCCCACTTCTTTGGCTGCGGCTGCAAGGCTAGCAAGGTTGCAGGAGAAGCGGCTGGATTGATTGAGGAAGGTGTTTTGCCCGTCCGGGCCCCTATTGAAAACACCGTCGGGACAAGATGGGCTTCTCCCTAGGTCCATGACAAAGCTTGTTTGACCTAATGCGGAGACCAATCGGCCCACCCAAGGACCCACACCTCCGACTAGGAGCTCAATTCCCTTCAAACACCTCTCCTAGGCTGAAATGCAGGCCCAGCGTGAGAAGGGCCTGTGCTACAATTATGATGAAAAAATTGGGCATGGCCACCGGTGCAAGACCTAGAGGATGTTCTTGCTGCAATGGGAGGAAACTGGAGGTGAAGATGACGAGGAGCTAGCTGAGGAGGAGGAGCCTAACAGTACTCTGTATGACAATCCCGAAATATCTCTTCAAGCCTTGACAAGGCTGGCGTCCCCCAAATCTATGAGAGTTGAAGGGAAGCTCAGGGGCCGCCGAGTGACCGTTCTCATAGATAGTGGGAGCACACTGAATTTTGTCACACAAGCCTTGGCTCGCCAACTAGGTATGACGGTCCTCTACACCTCTCCATTTGCTGTTAGAGTCGCGGATGGTAACCATATTGAGTGTGAAAGTATTTGTAAAAATGAAAAGCTGGTGATCCAAGGTCACACTTTCATCGTGGACCTGCATCCATTGGATCAGTGGGGCGGATGTAGTATTGGGTGTACAATGGTTGAGCCAATTGGGCCTGGTCCTTTGTGATTGGGGACACATGACCATGGACTTTTATTGTGATGGGCTCCGCTGCCATCTACAAGGTCAGGTGATACCCGACCCATTAGTGGAGAGTCTACACTCCATGCTTAAGGGGGGTTTTGGGAGATAACATTTATTGTTGATGCAGACGGGTCCAGTGCCTATCAGGCTCGTACTAAAGCTGGAAAATGAAGTCCAACCATCTGAGAAAGACCTATGTGATATACAAAGGGTGATAGACTAGTTCCCAGAAGTCTTTAAAGACCTGGACCAACTTCCCCCAACTTGGTTCCAAGACCATCACATACCTCTAACCTCGGGGGCAGCCCCTACTAATGTTTGGCCCTACAGATACCCGCACTTCCAAAAGACTGAGATTGAGAGGCTTGTGATTTTGTGAAGGAGCTCCTGCACAAGGGATGGATTCAGCCTAACACAAGCCCATTCTCGTCCCCGGTATTCCTTGTTAAAAAAAAGATGGGTCTTGGCGTTTCTGTGTAGATTACCGGGCTCTAAATCAAATTACCATCAAGGATAAGTTCTTGATTGCGGTCGTGGATGAGCTGTTAGATGAGTTGGGGCAAGCCAGGTATTTCTCCAAAATGGATCTTCGATCCGGTTATCACCAAGTCCAGGTCCACCTCGAAGATGTATACAAAATGGCCTTTCAAACCCATGATGGACACTATGAATTTCTAGTTATGCCATTTGGGCTGTCCAACACCCCCTCTACCTTCCAAGCCATCATGAATGACGTCTTCAGGCCCTATCTCAAACGTTTTATTTTGTTCTTCTTTGACAACATTCTTGTATACAACAAGAATTGGGATTCCCTCCTTCAGCACTTGAAACAGACTTGAGCTTGCTTAAACAACATCACTTGTATGCCAAACTTTCGAAGTGTGTTTTCGGACAGACTGAGGTCCATTATTTGGGCCATGTGGTTGCAGGAGGTTGGGTCATGGCTGACCCAGAAAAAATAGTTTTTATACAGGATTGGCCCACTCCAAGTCAATCAAAGCCCTACGCGGATTTTTGGGCCTTATTGGCTACTATTGAAGGTTCATATGCAATTATGGGTTGCTAGCAGCCCCATTAACTAGGCTTCTCAAGAAAGACTGCTTCGTTTGGACGGAGCAGGCCCAACAAGCTTTTGACTCCCTCCAGCAAGCCATGACCAGCCCACCAGTCCTAACCTTGCCGAATTTCGAGGAGACCTTTGTGGTTGAATGTGATGCATCGGGAATAGGGATTGGAGCGGTGCTCATGCAAAATGGGAAGCCCATGTCTTACTTCAGCAAGGTCCTCTCTACAAGGGATCGAAACCAGTCCACACACACTAAGGAGCTGATGGCAATCGTGTTGGCAGTCCATAAATGGCGACCATACTTGTTGGGCCGAAGATTCATTATCCGGACTGATCAAAGAAGCCTAAGGTTTATACTGGACCAAAAAGCCCTCACCCCGGATCAGCAAAAATGGGTAATGAAGTTAATGGGTTTTGATTTTGTAATCAAATATAAGCCTGGAGCCACCAACCGGACTGTGGATGCACTGTCCCAGAAAGCTGAGT